CCCCCCAGCCACGTACAACACCACAGGTACCAGATAGGTGACAACGAGCACCCTGGGATGCCTGTTGTGGTTGGTCTTGCTCCTCCTCTTCCTCCTCCTCAAAGCCACATTCCTCCTCTGACTCCTCTTCCTCACAATCCTCTTCCAGCGTTGCCGCAGGTCCAGCAAGCGATGCTGATAAGGCTGTTTCTGGAGGTGATGGTGACCACAACTCTTCCTCTTCCTCTTCACGCTCATCTACGGCCTGATCCAGCACTCTTCGCAGGGCACGCTCCAGGAAGAAAACAAATGGTATGATGTCGCTGATGGTGCCTTCGGTGCGACTGACTAAATTTGTCACCTCCTCAAAAGGACGCATGAGCCTACAGGCATTGCGCATGAGCGTCCAGTAACGTGGCAAAAAAATTCCCAGCTCCCCAGAGGCTGTCCTAGCACCCCGGTCATACAAATATTCATTAACGGCTTTTTCTTGTTGGAGCAGGCGGTCGAACATTAGGAGTGTTGAATTCCAACGTGTCGGGCTGTCGCAAATCAAGCGCCTCACTGGCATGTTGTTTCGCCGCTGGATATCGGCAAAGTGAGCCATGGCCGTGTAGGAACGCCTGAAATGGCCACACACCTTCCTGGCCTGCTTCAGGACGTCCTGTAAGCCTGTGTACTTATGCACAAAGCGTTGTACGATCAGATTACACACATGTGCCATGCACGGCACATGTGACAACTTGCCCAACTTCAATGCCGCTAACAAATTTGTTCCGTTGTCACAAACCACTTTGCCGATATCCAGTCGCTGCGGAGTCAGCCACTTTTCCACCTGTGCGTTCAGGGCGGACAGGAGTGCTTGTCCGGTGTGACTCTCTGCTTTCAAGCAAGTCAAACCCAAGACGGCGTGACACTGCCGTATCCGGGATGTGGAATAGTACCTGGGGAGCTGGGGGGGTGCCGTTGATGTGGAGCAAGACGCAGCAGCAGAAGAGGACTCAGCCGAGGAGGTTATGGAAGAGGATGGAGTAGGAGGAGTAGAGGAGGTGGCAGCAGGACTGCCTGCAAGTCGTGGCGGTGTCACCAACTCCTCTGCAGAGCCATGCATTCCATGCTTGGCAGCAGTCAGCAGGTTTACCCAATGCGCAGTGTAGGTGATATACCTGCCCTGACCATGCTTTGCAGACCAGGTATCAGTGGTCAGATGGACCCTTGCCCCAACACTGTGTGCCAGACATGCTATTACTTCCTTTTGCACAATTGAGTACAGGTTGGGGATTGCCTTTTGTGAAAAGTAAATTTCGGCCGGGTACCTTCCACTGCGGTGTCCCAATAGCTACAAATTTTTTGAACGCCTCAGACTCCACCAGCTTGTATGGTAAAAGCTGGCGGGCTAATAGTTCAGGACAAGCCAGCTGTCAGACGCTGGGCAAGGGGGTGACTTTCTGACATTGGCTTCTTACGCTCAAACATGTCCTTGACAGACACCTGACTGTGGGCAGATGAGCAGGAACTGCTCAAGGCGAGAGACGGAGGGGCGGATGGTTGAGAGGGGGCAAGGAGGACAGCAGTGGTTAACGTGGCTGAAGATGCTGGACCAGGAGGAGGATGGCGGCTTAGAGTAGGCGTGCTGCTTGTACTCATGTGTTGATCCCATAGGCGTTTGTGATGTGAGATCATGTGCCTACGCAAAGCAGTTGTACCTAGGTGGGTGTTGGACTTCCCACGACTCAGTTTCTTTTGGCACAGGTTGCAAATGGCATCGCTGTTGTCAGAGGCAGACACACAAAAAAAATTCCACACTGCTGAGCTCTGCAATGACGGCATTCTGGTGGTGGACACAGCATGCGTTGATTGGCGTGCTGTCGGGCTGACCCCGGGTGCCGATGCATGCTGTCTGACTGTGCCACTAGCTCCTTGTGACGACCTCCCCCTGCTTCCAACTCATCTCCTCCTCCTCCTCCTCTCTGTCTCCCCATCGGAACTTTCGCCCTGTTCTTCTTCTTGCCGAGCGGGCACCCACGTGACATCCATGGACGCATCGTCATCATCAACCGCTTCACTTGTATCTGACAACTCGGCAAAGGAAGCAGCAGCGGGTACAACATCATGATCATCATCACACAGTACGTCCATGTGTGTAATGCTGCCTGCCTGAAACATATCCCTGTTATCTACATCCTCTGGCAATAATGGTTGCGCATCACTCATTTCTTCAAACGGATGTGTGAATAACTCCTCTGACATACCAAGTAAAGCGGCTGTAGTTCTAGTTTTGGTGGTGGCGGCAGGCGGGTGAGTGGTATCTTGAGAGGTGCCTGAAGCGAAGCTGGAGGAGGATGGTGCGTCAAGGTTCTGAGCGGAGGCTGTAGAAGATTGGGTGTCCTGTGTTAGCTAGTCAACACTGTCCTCAGAACTTTTCAAGTTCAGGGTACGTGGCCTCTGAAAACTGGGCATTATTCTAGGGCCAAAGGGAATCACAGCACCACGACCACGATGGCCCTGCGGGGTGGCCTGCCTCTGCCTGTCATTTTTTTTGGGATTAGTGGTACTATGTACAAGCTACTGTGAGACCAGATATGAGTGGCAATGTGCACTGGCACAGTTGTGCAGAGCACAGGCTGTAGGCCTGACACAGCCGCTTGAAGGACACTGACTGGCTGCTATTAGCTTACACTGGAAACCTTTTTTTTCTTTGTAAAAGCACGCTACAGAGACACCAGATATGAGTGGCAAAGTACACAGGCAGAGGTCTGCACAGCACACGCTGAAGGAGGCCTGACACCCGCTTTAAGGACACTGACTGCTATTCAATCTATAACAGTGAAAAAAGTTTTTTGTTTTTAAATGCAAGCTATTGTGACACCAGTGAGTGGTGGCACTGGGCACCGTATCCACTGTTAGCTTAACACACCCGCTTTAAGGACACTGACTGCTATTCAATCTATAACAGTGAAAAAAGTTTTTTGTTTTTAAATGCAAGCTATTGTGACACCAGTGAGTGGTGGCACTGGGCACCGTATCCACTGTTAGCGTAACACACCCGCTTTAAGGACACTGACTGCTATTCAATCTATAATAGTGAAAAAAGTTTTTTGTTTTTAAATGCAAATTATTATGACACCAGTGAGTGGTGGCACTGGGCACCGTATCCACTGTGAGCTTAACACACCCGCTTTAAGGACACTGACTGCTATTCAATCTATAACAGTGAAAAAAGTTTTTTGTTTTTAAATGCAAGCTATTGTGACACCAGTGAGTGGTGGCACTGGGCACCGTATCCACTGTGAGCTTAACACACCCGCTTTAAGGACACTGACTGCTATTCAATCTATAACAGTGAAAAAAGTTTTTTGTTTTTAAATGCAAGCTATTGTGACACCAGATATAAGTGGTGGCACTGACTGGGGAAATGGGCACAGTATCCACTGTGAGCCTGACACAGAAGCTGGCAGCAGTGGCAGACAACTAACTGCAATTACATTACACAGAAAAAAAAAAGCACACCCTAACCCTAACCTAGCTATGCCTAACCCTATCTAATCAACAGCAGCTACACTTTCTCTCCTCTCACTAAGCATGCAGCTTGAGAATGAATGTAAAATGGATGCCTTCCAGTAGGTGGGAGGATCTGCTAGGGAGGGTGTGCTGCTAATTGGCTGGAATGTGTCTGCTGACTGTGAGGTACAGGGTCAAAGTTTACTCAATGATGACGAATAGTGGGCGGATCGAACCACGCATGCGTTCGCCGTCCGCGGCGGACGCGAACACACTATGTTCGCCAGGAACCGTTCGCCAGTGAACCGTTCGGTACATCACTAGTCAGCACCAGGCCCACTGGGCTCTTAATCTGGCCCTGTCCACATCAGAATTACCCTTTGAACTTTGGGAGTGCCAAATTAATGCATTGCAATAAAACAGAGAATATGCAGACTTTGAGAATTGACAAAAACCTATAGAAACTCAGAAGCTTTTCCTTCAGTAAATCTCCATTCAGGTTTTAAAATAGTTTTTGCTAACTTGTGCTATTACAGAGTGATCCTATATCATTGCACATTCCACCCATAAGGATATTCCAGAACTGAAATGCCAGAAAGATATACAACAACCCAGGAACAAAATATTACAACTACCACAATCACATTGTAGAATACAAGAATGCATTCTAAAAAACATTTTCTTTCAACAAAAAGTTTAAAAAAATCTGCCACAGTCAGTGAAGGAAGTGTTCACGTGTGCAGTAAACTGACACGCACTGTATATAACTGAGAATTTGCAAAGATAACACTCCCATTTCTCAACAGGCACATCAAGGGTTAAACCAGGATATGCTTGTCTGCAAGTCTCTCTCAATAACTGAAATCAAAGTGTTTGGAATAGTCATGCCTGGAATTGTTGATTTTATTTTTTTATATCAACCATCTATTGGTCACTTTTCATTTGATCTGTGAATACAATGAATACAGAAACATAGAATGTGAGGGCAGATAAGAACCATTTGGCCCATCTAGTCTGCCCAATTTTCTAAATACTCTCACTAGTCCCTAGCCTTATCTTATAGTTAGTATAGCCTTATGCCTATCCCACGCATGCTTAAACTCCTTTACTGTGTTAACCTCTACCACTTCAGCTGGAAGGCTATTCCATGCATCCACTACCCTCTCAGTAAAGTAATACTTCCTGATATTATTTTTAAACCTTTGTCCCTCTAATTTAAGACTATGTCCTCTTGTTGTTGTAGTTTTTCTTTTTTTAAATATAGTCTCCTCCTTTACTGTGTTGATTCTCTTTATGTATTTAAATGTTTCTATCATATCTACCTGTCTCATCTTTCCTCCAAGTTATACATGTTAATCCCTTCAGGACGGAGTCAATAGTACACGTTCTGATCAAAACAAAACGTAAACAAAACCTGGCATTTGCGCTATATGTAGTTCCGCCTGACATTTTAGCTGTAAATGTCATCATACTGTTTGCTTTTACTGCAATAAAATGCACATATTTGTATTCAGCAATGTCTCACAAGTAAAACAGTACCCCCCATTGTTACCGGGGGAATAACAGGAACAAACCGCAGAAGCCACACATAGAGAGATGGACACAAGTCTTCAGGAAGTAACAAGTCTTTCATTTACAAACCGATCGGGTCTCACACTGAACTTGTGTTCAAAAGGTATGAGCCCTGAGCATAGTTTGCACAGGCTATTTATTAACAATAACTCCTCCTATTCCTAGCTTCACCCACACACCCTTAGACCAATCAGTGAACAAGATATTCTGGATCACCCCATATGGACAGACCATATGACTCCTTTTAAGGACAAAGGAATGTGACTACAGTTGATGCATATGCTTAGTACATTGATGACAGTATCTTAGCTACATGTAACTAACTAACAAATACAACAAACGCCTGTACTTGTATATGCCGCATGGAGATTTCAGGCCTATTAAATTTTGAACCATGTTGAAATCCCATCACATTTCCCCCTTTGATGCTTCTGATACAAAGTTATTCCAGATGCATCACTAATCATAATTTGCCAACACCTTTCAAGTAACCATGAGCCGGGACAGACCTTAAAAGCATTCTAACTTAACTCTATTACCTCTCAACACTCATCGACCTGATTATTAATAGTCTCTCTCTGGGCTTGGGGTTCATACTTCCAGATGGTCATTACATGAGCAGTTGTCTTATTAATAATGGGATCAGGGAAGGCAGGAAGAGGCACAGGAAATGCCCCTCCTCCTACCAATGTTTTAATCCCACCAAGCTGCTCATACCAACTCCCAAACCAACTACTAGGATTATACCCATTCCAGACCTGAGTAGGTAATAATATCAACCACTGCCTGTCCCTCATATATATGCAGACAACAATTTGGTTACAATTAAGGTTAAACTTTCCACACACACCTCCCTCTACTGCTAGCAAATAATCAAGGTCTAGTCTATTTTGGTAAATGGCGGATCTCATTCGGGTATTCTGCTTTGCTAAGAGGTTAAGGGCTTCAGCTGTCTCGTTGGTAATAATCTCAACCACCACCTGTAATCTTATGATGCGGTTGAGCATGTATATGGGAGTTCGGTAACCATAAGTGCAATCTTCAACCCAGGTAGCAGGTCCATAGTAATTTATGATATGTTGGGGAGGACACTCATCATCTTCCCAACTACCTATATTCAATGAAGCTAGCTTCTTTTTATGATTTACTTCCTTAACTTCCAAGGTCTCTCCCGTTTCAAATGGCAACAAGAAGGATGGTTTGAGCATACCTAATACACATGCCCCTTCCCAATCTTGTGGTAACTCTGAATATGCTTTATTACCACAGATCCAATACAAATTCACTGGGGATTTCCAATTGGATGTAGCAGATAAGTCAAACCATACCTCTTTCAAATTGGTGTAATTGGCAAACCGATTATTAGGTTCCGAGACATTTGAAGCTGACCACCAAGTAGTATCTTTTGTATCAGCATTATAGGCCTTCTGTCCTAAACATGTTAACTCTCCAACAGGTGTATTATACAGTGGCCCTCTTCTAGCTAAACATACATGGCCTATGATAGATGTTTTTAAACGCCATTCTGATTTTTCCCGTACATTTACTTGATGATCAGACTTCGAAAGCATCTGTTGTTCATCTGTCTCAGAACCAGGGTACCAAACCCCTCTCGTCTCCCATGGCCATTGGTCTCCCATATTAGTACCTCCACATACAAAGCAGTTATATTAAGACTACCTGCAATACTCTCAGCCAAATCAATAAATAGGTTCTTAACATTATAGGGAATTTTATCCTCAACACTCATCTCCTCATAGAAGGAATGAAAAACCTGATGAGTTTGAGAAGCCAAAGAGATTCCAAAACTTGTCAATAAAGTGCTGCGGATTGGAAATGGTCATATGTACAGGGTTACACTCCATAGTTTTACAATATGGTGCAGTGGGCAACCTTTGGATAATCATATCTTGATCTACTGTCTTTCCACAGGTCGCCCAACCTTCACATGACCAATATGGGCAGAAGTTAAAATCTCTATTTGGGCAATCAGGATCACTAGATCTTTTGCTAGGACATAAATACTTATCAATAAACCCATAAGTCCATTCCCATTTAAGATTTCCACATATATTCCATGGTTTCCTGCTACCCGAAATCACCTTACATGCATCAAATCTGGTTACCTGTTTTTGTAGTCTTAATAAAACTAACACAGCTTGGAATATCCTTCCCTTTACCCTCCTGAAAAATCATAAAAATACTAAAGCACATAATTAAACACATTATTCTTGTGATCCTCATCTTAATTCTTCGACCGTGCGACCGCACTTCAGCTTCCCGCTTGTGAGGGCTTCAAGGATTGTTGTACTTCTGATCCTCACTTACATTCACAGAGGTCCCTTCGAGACACTCTGACTATGACAAGTAGGCCGGTGGTCAGGCTCTATTATGGCCGTCAAAACACCTACTTGCTGATCTCTGATGTTACTTTCAACCACGATTCTTCAAAAATCACCTCATACTTCTCAAGTCACGTTCAATCCGACTAGGTCATGTGCTTCAACCGGATCTTGCAAGGATTCTCACGATCTGGAGTAGCTTGCCAGGAATCTGCCGCTGGTTTAATCCTAGAGTGATGAATCCAAGGAGTCACTTCCGCCACCTTTACAGCTGTTGAGTTAGATAAAAGAACAACATAGGAAGGCTAACAGGATATACCCCAAGCTTTAACTATTGGTGGGATGTTATGAGCAAGTCCTGGAGGATTATTTTCTGCCCATACTCCTGGAATGTCAAATACAGATCCATCACTCTTTGGGTTTGCTTTTGTCATCACAGAATAGAAACGCCATTCTTCTTCTTTTGGCACCAATACTGCTATTCTGCCAGGTGATTTATTAAACTGCAGGTATGTTGATCCATTGGGCAGAAATGTTATCTGAGCTTGAAGCTTTGCCAATAGATCTCTTCCTAGAAGCTGAACTGGACATTCCAGCATATATAGGAACTGGTGCTTAACAAAATGGCCTCCTAGAATGCAAGTACGACTCCTGGGAATCGTTAAGACACTCCCAGACACAGACTCTATACAGTAGACCACCAAACTCCCAAACGGAATGCAAGGGAACGCAGTAAACCCACGAACACACAAACCAGCTGAATCCCTTCTTCGGCTAAAACAGGTGAAAGAAATCCTTCCAAGTAGCAATACCCCCAAATACGAGACCAAGCTCCGTCTTGAGGGTTAAACAGGAATCTGTTTAATGAGGGCTACCTGCCCGGTATTTATGCAGGTCTCCCACCTGGTGGACTAGGGGACCAGATGGAAGACTGGGACAGGTAGGATACATTAGCCAATCACAGTGGCTCAGGTTTACATACTCACCTTTATACAGTAAATCCCTCCTCTCTATCCTGGAGATAATTGGGAAGAAATCCAATTATCTCCCAGGATAGAGTCAAATAGCCATTTTAAACGAAACATTAAAAATACATACAAATAAGTAACTGTACAAATACCAAACATATTATATTCGTGCAACATATCCCCAGATAGCCTGGATCGGAGTGCATATTCCACCCAAATAGCGCTCAGATCCCATACACACAGTTCAATCGCCATGGAGTCAGTCTTTTACAGGTCTTTCGGTATGCGAGTGACTCCATGGGATGGCTATCTGGGTTAAGTCCATTCGTATTATCCAAACTCCCGAATGGACCGGTGTTCGCATGCCTTGACGAATGAGAAGGGCGGTCGGTAGTTTCAGCGGTGTTCGGTAGAAAACGTGTCCGTTTATAGTTCCATTGAATCTGCTGGTCTTTTGCGTGTTTTAAAATGGCCGCCGCCTCGTGGTCGGCATACGAACGATGACCACCCTGCATTCGGTTATAATTTAGGTGTCTGTGGTTAACCACAACGTTCTAATTGGGGTCAAGAGGTTAACCAGCAGCAAACTTCTCTTCTGGGTGGCCGTCCGTTCGGTAGTTTAATTCGGTGTAAGTCCAAAATAATGAATAGGGGCATACGGACAGTCAATTACACAAAGGGAGGCAAACTAGATGAACCAGCAACACCAGTCATACAGATGGATCTGTCACAAGCTCCTATCACAATTATAGTCTTCTCAGAAAGAGGAGCTACCAACTTGGTCACCACGGAATGTTCAGCACCCGTGTCTATCATGAAAGGACTTCACTTTCCCCCTATTGTTACATCGACCATAGGCTCCGCTCGGCAAAGGGGGATGGAGCCCGGTCGGTATCAATTGTCTTCCATGACAGTGTCAACCAGACCTACAAAATCTCTATCCTCTCTATCTCTAGGTCTCTGAGTAGGAGGATAAAATCTTCCTTCCTGAACACTCCCTCTGCTATTCCGATTAATTCCTCCAAAACTTCCTCTTCCTCTAAAGCTACCACCGTAACCACCTTGCCACCTTCTCTCATCTTGTCTACCACCTACAATATATCCCCTCTGTGGGCAGTCCCTCTTCCAATTCTGTGGGCAGTCCCTCTTCCAATGTCCTTCCTCTCTACAATATGCACATTGATCTCTGCCTAGTGGTACCCTGCTCATCCTATTCTCAACTCCTCTATCCATCTCCCCTCCTTCTCTAGCTATGCCTGAAATAGCAACCGCCAACATATCTGCTTTCTTCCTCATCTCACGTTCCTCCTCACACTTTGTCTCAGTCTCCCTATTCTTATATACCTTATTTGCAACTTCCATTAACTGTGATATGGACATCCCTGCAAATCCCTCTAACTTTTGTAATTTTCTCTTGATATTGTTCTGGGCTTTGCTGACAAATGTTGAATTTATCATACGAGAGTTCTCAGGGGTTTCTGGATTAAAAGGAGTGTATAATCTATAGGACTCAAGCAGTCTCTCATAAAAAGCACTGGTTGATTCATTAGCTTTTTGTAACACTTCATCGGTCCTGGACATGTTAATTGCCTTTTTCCCGCTTGATTAATCCGGGTCCTTTCCGCTGGTTGCTAGCTACCATATGAAATGATGTCTGAGAAATAAGGTCAGTAATAGTTGCTGACAATCAGCCCAGGTGGGATTGTGGGTCTGAATAATGGAGGTGACCAAGTCCTTCACGGCTTGAGGTTTATCTGTATATGAGGAATTATGGGTCTTCCAGTTTAACAGATCGGTCATGGTAAAAGGGACTTAAACAAATACAGGATCTGCCAATTGCAACTGTCCATTACCAT